CATGGCATGTAATTTACTACAGTTACCATGTAATTTACTGCACTGCAATGCTGAACAAATAATCCGAGAAGCTGGACCATATGAAGAAGAATACAGCATCAGGATTGGAAGAAGACTCATTAACAACCTGCAATATGCAGGTGACACAACTTACTTGCTGAAAGTGAAGAAAATTTGAAGCACTTACTGATGGAGATCAAAGACTTCATTCAGTATAGAGTATACCTCAACATAAAGAAACAAAACTCCTTGCAACTGGACCAATAAGTAATATCATAATAAATGGAGAAAAGATTGAAGTTTTCAAGGATTGCATTTTACTTGGATCCACAATCAACACCCATGGAAGTGGCAGTAAAGAAATGCAATGATGTATTGTATCAGGCAAATCTGCTGCAAAAAACCTCTTTAAAGTGTTGAAAGACAAAGATGCCACTTTGAGGACTAAGGTACATCTGACCTAAGCCATGATATTTTCAGTTGTCTTCGATGTATATGAAAGCTGGACAGTGAGACTGTAGAAGAATTGATGCATTTGAATTGTGGTGTTGGGAAAGAATATTGAATATGCCATGGACTGTGAGAAAAATGAGCAATTCTGTCTTGGAAAAAGTACAGCCAGAATGTTCCTTAGAATTTAGGATGATGAGACTTTGTCTCACATACTTTGGACAAATTATCAGGAGAGACCAGTCCCTAGAGAAAGACATCATGCTTGATAAAGTAGATGGTCAATGAAGAAGAGGAAGACACTCAGTAAGATGGATTGACACAGTGGCTGTAACAGTGAGCTCAAACATAGCAACACTTGTGAAGATAGTGCAGGACCAGGCAGTCTTTTCATTCTGTTATACCACAGGGTCATTGAGTCAGAACCGACCCTATGGTACTTAACAACAGTAGTTATCTCCAAGATATTAAAGTGTTTTTTATTTATTTATAGATGTGTATGTCTTCCCTTACAGAATTGCATGTAGGTACGAGAGCAAGTCCCTTCCCTGATGGGAGGCACCAATTGTTGTTTGGTTAGGCTCCCTCCACAGCTCTTCTGGGACAGCATGATCTTCCTGTATTGGGTCTGCTGGAAAGCATGACAGGTTGTGTCTGTCATCACAGGCTGGTGGTGCTACCAGGAAAAGTCTCTATGCAGGCTTGATTTAGCATCTCAGTAGGTATAGAGAGATCAGGGAGTCTTGGTGCAGGCATGGGGAATCATACCTGCTAGTCTCTGGAGGGGGTAGGTTAGGAGAGTATAGGTGGTAGTGAGCATACCTTCCTGTCCCTTGGTAGGGGTATATCTACCTGTCACTGAATGGCAGTATGGTGAGTGCTACCACTGGTCACCCAGAAGTGGGTGCTGTGGGCCTCCTGCTAATCACCTGGCAGTGTGAGGGACAGTGTGAGGGACTTCACCAGGTGTGGTTTTGAGGAACACTTGCCATTCAGCAGTGGGTGTGATGGGCTCACCCACAGGTAACCTGGCAGTGTGGGAGGCAGGGCAGAGGGCATCCTGCAAATTTGTGGTACACGACTTGATAGGTGTGCCTCTAGTCACTGGCATGAGGTATGGGGAAAAAGCTGCCTCTGGTTCACAGCCATGAGGTTCACATGCTATGGATCTGTGGGTCCCTGGCACAGAGGTTGGGGCAATGAAGTGCTGCTGGTACTCAGGTACACAGCTTACAGGGTGCATGTCTGGTCCATCTGAAAGTTGTAATTTTTCTTAACAGTTACATTGGGCCTGTGAAAGATTCAAAACAAGATACACTTGGAAAGGTAGGTTGGGCCCAGACCAGAGAGCACCTTGAATGCCACTGTAAGAAATTCTGTGCTTTACTTGGTCAGCTCAAGGAAATTGAGGCCATACAGTATAACTCAGAGCTATGTATTAGGAGAATTCATTAACAATAGAGTGTTGCATTAAATGTAAGGGGGAGGTTCATGAGGGTACATACTCATTAGGAGTCTGTTGCAATAGGTTTGAGATGAAGGGTTTCACCTTTTAAATCACCTCAAATGAAACTCTTGTGGTTGGGTTCTGGATCTTCTGATCCCAACATGGTGACTTTGAAAGGCCTCACGCACAGATGCTCTACTTCATTCCCTGGGAAAATGTGTCATAGTTTCCTGGTACAGAGCTCTCTGCAGTTGCTAGACAATGGTCAGTATCTCTTTCTTCTGTTCCTCACCACCTGTTTTTGTTTTCTCTTTCCTCCGTTTTTCTCTTCATTTCTGCTCTTGACAGGTTCTACTCTCTGCCTTTCCTTCAGCTTTACCTCCCCACCTCCAATCATGAAACAATCTAGTAGAAAAAATTACCAATATTTATTTGCACATCTTAAGGGAAGCTTGCTATAAGCTATATGAGAAAAAAATAAAATGAAATTTTTAATGAAGTGTATATGGAGGCACTAATGTGGGGTCCATTTTAATGAAAAAATCTGCTAAATATAAAGTTTTGCTAAGTATTTTTAATATAAAAGTAATAGTGGTATATAGGAAGCTTATTATGAACATTCTTTCAGCCTGTAACTGTCAGATTTCACGATGGCATCAGCATTCCCACCTGTGACTTCCCATTAAAGTCTTTTGTGCCAATATGATATCTCATGTTTTGGTGTCCTGAATAGCAAACTTTCATGACTCTGATCCCAGCATTTGTCTGTCAGTTTTTCATACTGTGGTGGCTTGTGTGTTGCTCTAATGCTGAAAGCAATACTACTGGTATTTCACATACCAGCAGGGTTACCCATGGTGGACAGGTTTCAACAGAGCTTCCAGACTAAGACATACTAGGAAGAAAGGCCTGGAGATCTATTTCTAAAAATAAATAATAATGAAAACCTTATGGATCACAACAGGACATTATCCAACTCACTTGCTTTGACCACATCATCAGGAGGGATTAATCATTAAGGGCAGACATTGTGTTTAATGACTTAGAGGGCCAGTGAGACCAAGGGAGACCCTCAGTGAGATGGATTGGAACAGTAGCCATAACAATGAACTTGAACCTGCTGGTGATAAGGATGACACAGAACCTGGCAGTGTTTTGTTCTGTTATACATAAGGTCACCATGAGTTGGAATTGACTCAAGGGCAGCTTAGAACAACAACTTGACCCTGATTGTGCCTCAAATACGTGTGTTATGAAATGGTCACCACATTCCTGAGATATATAGAATGGAAAGATTATCACATTTTCAAAGGTTCACTATGAGGCTAATCTATTGTTTCTACCAAACTCCTTTTAATCTAGGCTTACATGGAAATTATATAGTATATTGATAAGGACATTTACAAAATTACAATAGGCATTTCCTTTAAGATTTTTAAGGTTTACCAGTGATAAATATGCACATCATGTAGATTGTTTGTTCCAGTGTGGCTGCAGATGAAGCTAACCAAACTCAGAAGGAAGGCTGTTTCTCTAAAGAGTTAATAGTCAGGTTTTGTCTGCCTTTGGTTATGGGGTGTTTTGGTAGTGTAGCTAAGGGCAACAAGGGTAGGTGGTTTGGATCTTGTTTTATTCAAGCGAGGCTTGATGAGACTCCAAGGCATTTGACTGCTAACCAGAAGGCTAGTGGTTCCAACACACCAGCCACTCCTTGGAAGGAAGACTGGACAATCTACTTCTGTAGAGATACCACCTCGGAAACCCAAAGAGGGGTCACTAGAATCAAATCGACTCGACATCAGTGAGTTTTTTTTTTTTTTTTTTATGATATTGTTAAAGAGGGAGCTCTGGGGGCATAGGGCCTAAGACATTTGACTGCTAACTCACCAGCCACTCCTTGGAAGGAAGGTTGGGCAATCTATTTCTGTAGTGATACTGCCTCAGAAACCTAGAGGGGGTTACTATGGGTTGGAATCGACTCAATGGCAGTGAGTTTTGTTTTTGGTTTTTCTATGATATTGTTAGAGAGTGAGAGCAAGCAAGATTTGGAGTTGAGAGGTCTACTTTTGAATCTTAGTTGGGAAGATCAAGTGAGTTAATTATGAGACACTCTGTGTCATCTGGATCATTACAAATGTCAAACCCTATAGAAAGACATTAAGGTTTTACTGATCTTATTTTTAGTAATAGTATTGCAGTGATATTTGCAACTGATTAAAACTTGCCTTTTGTTGTAAGTGCACTTCTAGAGGTATAATGTTCTAAATAAATTACTTAAATCATAGTTTGTGAGGCTTGGTTATAGCTGATAATCTGTAAACATAAATCCATTGTAGTCCAGAAGTTTATACTCAAGGTGGTGCTGTTCACCCATAAATTTGTTGAAGTGTTCATTTTTTATCTCCTTCTGTTTTAAATGAAGTTAATAATTGGGTATATATTTGGGACCATCTCCGCCTTCTGTAGGCCCTAGGCCTTCTTGCCTTCTGAGCCCCCCACCTAATAACATATTATAGAAATGCACACTTATCCCCTATTCACTATAGCTTATATGTGAGCTGAGTCATTGTACGATAGCTGACCTGTTATATTTTTTGAGACATTTAATACAAATAAAATTAATAAAAATACTAAAAATACTACTTTAGATTTTACAGCATCCTTTTCATATTTTGGAGCCAATTTATTTCTAAAAACTCACTGCTGTTGAGTTGGATCTGACTCATAGTGACCCCTCCTTGGGTTTCTGAGGCACCATCACTAAGGAAGTAGATTGCTGAACCTTCCTTCCAAGGAGTGGCTAGTGGGTTTGAACCGCCAGAGTTCCAGTTAGCAGTCAAATGCCTTAGGCACTACTCCAATTTGTTTCTAGGTCTCCTGAAACTCTTGTAGGTTCTGGTTCCTAATGGTATAAAGGACCCAATATAAATCTTTCTAAAACTTAAGAGTACAAGGGAGCATATTCATGTTGAATTTCATTTGTGCTAGGATTCTGTGTCAGGACTACCCTATCAATCCTTTCTTCTTATCAGAAACTACACATGCATTTTATAGGTGTGGTCATTCCATGCTTGATGTGAATTTTGTTTTGTTTGTGTTTTAGATCCGAGGATTTCTGTCACGGTTTGATAACGTCCTTCCTGTCAGTCTGGCATTTGACAAATGTACGGCTTGTTCTTCCAAAGTAAGTTATTTTGCATGTGAGGAACTTGGTTTGAAAAGTGACCGCCTCAGTTTTTGACCACTGCCTGCCTAGCCACAGGGATTGAAATGACAGGGATTTTTTTGGTGGAGTGCTGCAGTGGAAAACACCTGAAAGAATATTCTTGTTTTCATTTATCAGTATTCATTCTCACAGAGAAACCAGACGGAGAAAATTTGGCTTGTGTCGTGCAGAGACTGGATTAGCTATTTTAACACTGCATCAATAACTTGCATCCCAATAATTTTGGCTTGAACTTAATCTTCACTGGTCCTTATTCCTCTCCAGAGGGACCCCCTCCCATAGACCATCATAGAACAATTTTTAAGTGTTACTTAGAGCATGGGAGATACCAGGCTGTCGGGGCTGTCTGTCTTTTGGAGATCTACATAAGACAACAACAACAAAAAAAGTAAACCGAGATTAGGGGCATGGATGGGGCGCCAGTAAAAGGGCCTCTTCAGCTTTGATCTTTCCAGAGGCTCTAAAAATAGAGTTGGTATGCCATCCATTGTAATGGGAAACGGCTGATGTATTTCAAGGCTACAGTGATGGCATCTTTTTTTTTTTTTTTTAATTGGCTTTGAGGTACTGTCTGTGTTATTTTTACATGTATACTGTATGTTATAGCTGATTTCCTTTTGGGTGCCTCTTTAAGCCACCTAACACCCAGTGTGATTTTTAACCTGAGCTTTTAAAACTCATGATTCTTGATATGTATACGTTTTCATATTGAATCACTATGAAAATTGTATCGGTGTTAACTAATCCCAAACTGTAACCTCTCAGTTATCATTTTGGAATTCTTTGCAGTGTAGCCTACCTCTGGCAATGTGGACGGGATTGAATTCTGGGGAAATTCTCTCCACTCTGAGATGACAAACATTCTTTGAAAAGTTTTCTTGGGTCAGATATTTTGAAAAGCACAATCCTAGCCAGTTTCTCCAAAAAGTTCACTCAGATTTGACAAACAATATTGATAAATTTTGTTAGCTTTAGGTGCTCAAAAATATAGATTATTTCTTTTTTCTTTTTTTTCACTATGAAACTAAACTAAGCCCCTGATTTATCACTGTGTATCCTAAGTGCTTCTGCTAAGATTTCAAGCTGAACCATTTGTCAGTGTTATCTAGGAGCTCACTTTTCCTGTAGTTTCTTTAACGTGTTGTATACTTGCTCAAATCAGGGCCTTGAGGATGTCTACGTGCATTTCTGTCTTCAGAAATATGAGTTGTGGAATTATACGCTCTAGTGGAACACAATTTTTTTTTTCTTTGAATGGTTGAGCTAATTGTTTTAAAAATAGCTTGGCAGTATTAATTTTCATATTGAAATTGTTTGGCACAGGTGCCAGAAGTTTTTCTATGGCTTTATGTAGATCTCCCTAGTCAATGAAATAAAGATAATTAGGTCCTCTAAGTGAAATGCAAACACTCCTTCTATCTTATTCCATTTCTGATTAAATTAGCCCTTGAGATACTGTTTATAAAAGAATCACAAGCTCACCAGTGAACAGGCCCCCTCATATTCTTTAAAAGAGAATAGCTTTGCATTTTTCTTTCACACTTATTGTAAGCTTGTTGTTGTTGTTGTTATGTGCTGTCGAGTGGGACCCGACTCATAGCAGCCACTCCTTGGGTTTCCAGGGCAGTATCACTATGGAAGTAGATTGCCCATTTTCCTTCCGAGGAGTGGCTGGTGGGTTTGAACCTCCAGCCTTCTGGTTAGCGGTCAAGTGCCTTAGGCACTATGCTACCAGAGCTCCTAAATTAAATATAGGTATCACTTTTTTGTTAACAAAATGGTTTCCTCTTGGTGGCCATTCTGAGAGTCCTGTTTTACGTAAACATGCTGGAGGATTTAATACAGACTGAGTCGGATTTTAACAGCTGTGCTATTCCCATAGCGATCACTTTTCATGTGGTCTGGGTATCAAATTTCTTTTGTGCTGAAAAGGTTGTTTCATTGGTGCACGTATTTCCTTACAGTAGAAACACAGCATTTACTTACTTGGCTAACTTCTTTAATTCGCTTAGAAGAATGTCATTCTCTATTATCTGCAAGCCTAACATTAATACTTTGAAATGACAAATCCAATTATGTTTTGTTCTTTGTGCATGTGAATTTTTCTTAATGCATACTTAGCACAGTATTTTTTTATACTGAGTCATATCATAGTTGTCATTATTTCAAAAAGATTCTTTGGGGCTAAAAATGACTTTTTAAAAATTCTCTTCTGACAGTCATGAAATAATTTTTTCCTTTGGTACTTTTCAGTATTTTTGCCTTTTTTCCTAGGACCAAATCCATACTTGTGTCTTGATTTAGCCTCCAATACAGACAGAAAGATGAAGAGGTAGAATGAGCTCTACAGAGTAATAGTATGCTCATTCATTACCTTACTTACAATGAGTATAGAACTTTTCTAGGACCTGGCGAAGCCATGTGGTTCACTGCTTCTGTGGCAGGGAAGGCCAAATCATCTGTACACAAGTAATTTCTTACCCTGTTTTATCTTAACCTGACATATAGCCAGATGAGTGTTCCCTCTTACAAAACAAATGCTGAGGAATTGCTTTCATTCCAATTGCTGCTTATTGTCTTACAACCTTTCTAAAATGACCATATCCACCACTGGAATTTAAAAAATGCTATCAGCTAGCTATATGAGTTGTTTTTCATTTCTGGAATTTAGAGCAAACTTTGTCTCACCTACTTTGGTCCTGTTGTCAGAAGGGACCATTCTCTGGAGAAGGATGTCATGCTTGGTAAAGTGGAGGGTCGACGAAAGAGGGGAAGGCCCTCAATGAGATGGATGGACATGGTGGCTGCAGTGATGTGCTCAGTTATAGTAGGGATAGTGAGGCTGGCATAGGACTGGGCAGTGTTTTGCTCTGTTGTACATAAGGTCCCTATCTATGAGTTAGAGACAACTCAACAGTACATAACAACAACAGCAACAGAGTATTATAAGGAGTCCCTGCGTGGCACAGATAGTAAAGCACGTGACTACTAACCAAAAGATTAGTAGTTTGATTCCACCAAGAGGCATCTCAGAGGAAAGGCCCAGTAAGGTGCTTCTGAAAATTCTCAGCCTTAAAAACCCCATGGAGTGGTTCTACTCTGTACATATAGTATCTCCATGAGTTCATTTGGGAGCTCTGGTAGCATAGTGGCTAAGGCACTTGACTGCTAACCAGAAGGCTGGCGGTTCAAACCCACCAGCCACTCCTCGGAAGGAAGGTTGGTCAATCCTACTTCCGTAGTGATACTGCCTCGGAAACCCAAGGAGGGGTCGCTATGAGTCGGGGCCGACTTGATGGCACATAACAACAACAACAACAACATGAGTTCATTTGACTTGACAACTGGGAGGGGAAAAAAAAGGTATAGTTGAGTTGCTAGAGGAGCTCTGGTGGTATAGCATTCAGCTGCTAACCAAAAGTTGGCAGTTCGAACCCACCAGCTGCTCTGTGGGAGAAAGATGAGGCATTCTGCTTCGGTAAAGATTTACAGCTTTGGGAACCCTGTGGTGCAGTTCTGCTCTGTTGTATAGGGGTGCTGTGAGTCAAAATTGATCAATGACAGAGAGTTTGGTTCGATTTGGTTAGAGCTGCTACCAGAGGAAATGTATAATTTTGAAACTAGTATTCTGAAAGAATTTCTCAATACCTTGGGTTAGTTTATTATTGCCTTTTTTTCCTTTTCTTTTTTTGAGGGTTAGGATTTGGGGGATAAACTTTTATTTGATGTAACTCCAAGCATATAGAAAAGTTGTAAGAATAATATAAGAAACTCCTGTGTACCTTATACCCAGATTCTCCAATTGATTTTGTTTACCTTGTTTATGTGTATGCACGTTCCCTCCTCTCTCCAGTCTTAATCTCTCTTTCTATATCTATGTGTGCATATGTATACACACACATGTTGTTGTTGTTATGTGCCGTCGAGTCAGACCTGACTCATAGCGACCCCTCCTTGGGTTTCCAAGGTGGTATCACTACGGAAGTAGATTGCCCAACCTTCCTTCCGAGGATTGGCTGGTGGGTTTGAACCACCAGCCTTCTGGTTAGCAGTCAAATGCCTTAGGCACTATGCCACCAAAGCTCCTCATACACACATATACATATGCATATACATATTAATTTTGTTCTTAACCATTTGAGACTAAGTTGGAGGCATTGTGCTCCTTTGTCCTAAATATATCAGTATGTATTTCCTAAGAACAAGAACTTTCTCTTCCCTAAACACAATACTCTTACTAAATCTAAGCAATTTAATATTGGTACAGCACTGTTATCTACTTTGCAGCCCATATTTCAGATGTAATTTGTACCAATAATGGTTCCATATAGACTTTTTCCCCCTGGACCAGGATCCAATTTAAGATCAACATTTCATTTAGTTGTTATATTTCTTTGGCTTCCCTCAATCTGGAAAAGTTCCTTACCCTTTCTTTGTCTTTTTTAACCTTCACATTTTGAAGTGTACAGGCCAGTTATTTTATAGAATTTCCCTCAATTTGGATTTGGCTAATGTTTCCTCATGATTAAATTCAGGTTATGAATTCTTGGCAGGAATACCAAAGTGATGTTGTAGCCTCATGTCAGGAGTACGTAATATATTTTATCCCCTTTGGTGATATGTTAATTTCTCTCTTTCCATATTTGTACTTACCTTTCCCAACAGTGAGAAATCTGGCTCCTATTATCCTCCATATATTTACTCACTTGCTACAGTCTGAAATACACTGAAAATAGTTGTAGAATGGCTAGCCCATGCTACTGTGGAAACTAAACCTAGAAACTGCAGTTCAGTATTGTGCATAGTTCTTTTTTTTCCTAGGTAAAATGTAAATTCAGTGAAATGCACACATCTTAAGAGAACAATTTTATTAGTTTTGAAAATGTATGCACCCATGTAGGAATACCTGGAGTATGCAAACGGTTAATGTTCTTGGCTGCTAACTGAAAAGATGGGAG